TATTAATAAGTCAACTCCTTATCATATGATCAATACTCTAGCCAAATAATTTTTAATCAGTATACGAATAGACTTTATCGATTGATCCTATTATAATCGGCTGATATGTTTGATCATTGCTCGAGTATATTCTCTTTTAATCTGTACTCGAAACTCGCCTTATTTTAATGAATATTCTAAGTCACTTTTCGAAACGCCCCCTTATATGACCTGAGTATTTTATCCCTCTAAGCTAATTTTCATCGGTTCTCAAAACCGCGATTAATTGATCAAAACGTGAGCCCTGTATTATTCAACAATACTCGAACTCTCATATCATCGGTATTCGAACATTCATTTAATAATTTATCGATGTTGCAAGCATTTGAACACTTTTTTAAACAAATCTTTGTTAAATGTTCGAACATACTTTATTATTAACAATCAAACCTCCAAGTTCGGAATAAATAGCAAATCCGCTATGATTTGAAACCTATCTTTTAAATACTTTTCTAACGTATACTCTTACGTACAGTACACGACTGGTTTCATTTCTCTCTTTGAGCAGAAGCTACGATTTCTCTCATCATGACGTCATGCTGCACACAGATCTGGGAGATCGCTAGCAAAGATATTATGAAAACTTAGTATCATTCTTTCTGTAAAAATAAGTTTGATTTTTTCTTGATATTAGCTTCCAAACTTTATGCAATTAACATATTATTTCCCTTCAAAAGCATAGTTTAAAAAAATTTTCTTGGCCAAAATATTAAATACCATTTTTAACTAATAAAAATATTTTACTAGTTGTCGTAAATAATGACACTATGAATAGTTTATTTTAAAATTTTCAGTTTTAACTTTTATTATTAAACAAAATTAAAGCATATATCGACACGTTTTAGTTACGTATTCTTCGATAACAATTTGTATAGATGGCTTAAATTTAGAATTATAGACTTTGCTGCTAATGGCAATTTGTTCATACGTAATCATTAGGAAACATCAACATTTAGGCGCTAATTACTGAAGCAAAATAATAATTTAGGTTCATAATAGTATTAGAAATTTTACAATTGCTTATATATATTTAAATTTTAGAGAACATTATCAAAAGAAATCATAAATATCTAGAATAAGAACATTAAATTTTTTTTTATAAAATCAGGAGAATTTTAACTATTAATTATTTATACTATTCCTTTAATTTTCTTTGACTTAAATCCATTTTCTTGCCCGCCATTCTTTTTGAAGTAACGAGTCGGTTTCTATTTAGAAGGCAAATTCTTATAAAAGTTCTTCAACGTATTACAGATTTATATTAACTAGGCCATTTCGTTTGCCACGTTGAATCCGTTCTTTATATAGTTGTTCATTTATTTTAGGGAATACGTGGAAAATTATATTTTTTCCTTTAGTGTTTCTATCAGAATTTTTGCAAGTTGCAATCGCGTAAACTAGCATTTCGTTAATAATTTTAGATTTTTAGTAATTCACTTCATAAAAACAGGTGAAAATCACTATAGAATACACGAATGTCTTGAATTACTTCGCAAAAAGGAATGCTCCAATGTTAGTTAGACCGAACACTCCGTTCTTGAAGTAAAAGTTCAATCTTTGCGCCGCCGTGACGTCACAAGGAGAAAATTGGAGGCTTGGTGCGGTGAGAGTTTCTTCCAAACAGTGAACCTTTCTTTCTATTCTCTCTTTAACCCTGACTCGAACCTACTTTATTTTAATATTGATTTTCAAACCTTCTATTGTTAGTACTGGAACCCACATAGTTTTGATCAATACTCAAAATCGCCATATTATTATAGATTCTCGATCTGACTCTCAGTTTTTTGGTACTTGAACCTATTATCACTTGATCTAAAATCGAATCTACTATTTCTATGTCAGTTCTCAAATACTCCTTTTTTTTTATTGGTGATCGAACTTGCAATTGTTGATTAGTCATCGAGCGAACACTGTCACGATAACCTTACCATTTGATCAACATTTAAGTTTACTATCATTTGATTATTATTCAGTATCTATCATTTCAACACGTTTTAGTTCTCGTACCCATTAACAATGTTTTGGTATTTAAAACTTTCTATCATTTGATCAGCATTCGAGCCTACTATCTTTTGAACATATTTCTGAACACTTTTTCCAACTTAGTTAAAGTCCATATCACTATATTTTTATCCGTACTTAGAGCTCGCTATCATTTAATCAATAATCGAACCTTCTATTTTCCATCAGTACTCGAAACCAATATCCCCAACAGTAATTTTTTTTACTATCATTTGAACTTTACTCTATCCTACTATCAATTATTTCTTCCAATTTTTCATTTATTATAGTAATAATCGTACCAATTTGGTCAAAATAATTTTCAGCATTAAATTCCAGATTCTGCGTTATTTACTTCTCAGCGGACACTTCTGTTTAGCTGTTTTTACCCAGGGCAGGGGCGGACCCAGAAATTTTTCCTGGGGAGCGAGGGTCATAGACTCAAATACCCTCCCTCAATTAATTTTTTTATAAAAAAAATTTTAAATATTTTTTTTTGAAAAAAAAAACTGAGGTTTTTAATGTTAGTCTTCTCATTTATTTTTTTCATAATGAACAATACATAAATAATTCAAGTATTCAAAATCTTTAAATAATAAATGTAATGCGTTTTTTTAGAAACTTTGGCAAATACAACCTTTCGTTAAACCTAATGAAGAGCGCTTCAACATTATTAATGTTTACAATGAAACAATGACTAGTTTCGTTTTAATCTTTTGGATCATGATTAGATGGAGAAAAAAAAAATCGATTTTTCCGTCCAACCTAGGTGTATATGCCCCCTTAAATAATTTTTAAAGCATTTTATTTCTTTTGTAAACTGTTAAAAAAATTATTATTATTTTCAATTTGGCGGCCCGCTGGATCCGCCATTGATGACCCAGGGTTTCCACTTGATTTTGTTATGGTTTTGAAAGATGACTCCCACACGAAATAACATTTTGCTGACTTAATTTGTGAGCCTTTATGAGCATTTTTTAAGAAAGGAATTTTACTTTTAAATTTTATTCTAAGAATGTAAAACAATGATACATTATTTGCAGGGGGGGGGGATTTCCATTTTTGACCGAATCATAAATTAGCGACAGCAATTCTTCTTAAATCTTATTGGTGATGAAGCTATAAGTTATAAATAACATAGTTGCAGGGCTGATTGTGCTCCGGAAAAAATCCGGATTTTTCGCTAACAGTGATCCGGAAGTTTCCGGAGATCGAAGGTCGAGACATTTCAAAAAATCATTGATCACGAAAGTTTACGGAAATCAAATTTTCAAAGGTGAGATTTAAAAAGTTTATTTTGTTTGCAAGGGAGAGAGCCAGATACATTTTTTATTAGTAAATAGTTATCATAATCATAAACTAAGGAAAGAAAGATATATTTGTTAATTTTAGTTACTTCTCCAGGTCATCATAGGTATGTGTAAATGGTATAGTTATGTGTAAAATTTTTAATATATATTGTAAGTAAACTAAGAAATATTGAGAAAAAGGGAAAAAAACTTTTTCTAATTTTTTTCAATTTAAACTGTTTTTTTGTTGTTTTTTTTACTCAAGAAATTTTCCGGAATTTTGACTTGGGCTCACAATCACCGCCTGTAGTTGTCAACTTTTCCTATTTCCCCTGGAAGATTTAACTTTTATATTTTAAGCAAAATTTAAACTTTGATATTTTATTCAGTGTTTAATATATTTGATTTAAAATGTTCTTGTTGGCCATTATACCTTATCAATGCAACCATCTATATAACAGGACTGATTGTGCTCCTGAAAAATTCCGGATTTTTCGCTAACAGTGATCCGGAGTTAGAAGATCCAGACGTTTCAAAAGATCAAATTTTCAAAGGTGGAACTTAAAAACGCAGTTTATTTTATTTGTTTGTAAGGAAGAGCCAGAGAGATACATTATAAGCTTATATTCATGATTAATATTCATCTTTTATCAGTGAATAGTTGTTATAATCATAAACTCAGCGAATTTATTTGTAGCTTTAAGCTAAGAATTTTTTAAATTGGGTTAATCATGAACACAGAAGTTTAAGTTTCTGGCCAATTCCCTCCTTATAGGAGATAAAAATTTAGAGCTCCCCCCCCCAACTAAAAAATTTATAATAATAAAATAGGCTATATGCAACATTTTAGATTTTTACATTCATGACTAATTCCAAGAGTTTTTCATGAATTAGCGAAGTTACTATTTTCTCGGACAAAAACGCAACAATAAATTTAATAAACCATTATAATAACATTCATTGAAATGATAGGTACAATAACCAAAACTGTTATACTCTGCATCTTCATATGTATAGATTTTTAATTTAAAAAAACAGAGTAAAGAAAGTGTGAAAGTAGTTGAAAAAAAATAAAAAAGCAAAAAAAAATTTTTTTTTCCCAGCAGACTTATATTTTAAAGATACTTTTCTTGTTTGTACATCAGAAAGGAAAGAAATAATCCTGATTTTTCTGTTCTCATTTCGAAATTAAAAAAAAATCGCCAATGACTGGCTTGTTGCAGATAGAATCTCAAACTAATAAAATAAAAAATGATAAAAATTCTGAAATCACAGAAGTTTAAAAAATAATTCGCTCTAGAAATGATATTTTTTCTTTCATTCTTTGAAAGAATACCATAATTTTTAAATAACAGGATTCAAATTCAGATATTCGAAACACCATGAAATTGGGTAGGGGGTATATTCCAATTTAAAAATTAGATTTTTCGGTGACCTAAATCGATGACTTTCCATGATTCTTTAAAAAATTAGTTAAAATCATGACAAATTTTGTTCAAAACTGAAATTCATAACTCTCCAGGTGTGCATATACCCTGTTTATGATTTTTTAAAAAAATAAATAAATAAATAAATCTTAATCTCAAAAAGGATGTGTTAGGAAATGCAGATAGCTGTTGACATTTAATAAAAATTCAAAATTTCTTAAAAGTTATTAAAATAACAAATTCGTTTTTATAGTCTAAGTATTTATTGGTAAGTTGAATGAATAATGATAAATAATCATTGTACATTTCAATAAATAAAAACTTCATCATACATTATTCCAGAATATTTTAGTATATATTTTCTTATTAAATTATTGTCAAAACATGCTCAAAATTTCATATAAAATTCTGTCAAAAATAAATGCCTTTACATAACAAAATCCATGTTTTCATAAGAAACATTGATTACACTATCATAATCTAATGTATAAAATAATTAAAAGTAAGAATTTTTTTTAATTTTAATAATACGTAGATAAGTTTCATGTAAATTTCGATTAATATAATTCATAAGTCACAAAATATACATGATGTAAGATATTTATACTATGATATTATAATTTAATTAACAATTTCATTTTATACATACAATTTTATCATCTTCATATCATTACATACAATTTTAAGATTTAACTAGCAACATGGGTGCAAGTTGGAAAAAAAGGCCAAGACTGAAAATTTTTTGATTGAAATACCTAACATACGCAATACCCACTCGACATATGCAAACTATCTAAGAAAGCTTTACCATAATACATCAAGTTTAAATACGGTACAAAAAATATTTATTCATCTGTCTTTTGATAAAATAACAACAGCACATAAGAAAGTAGACCAATAACGCAGACCTAAAAAATATTTTTAAGGACAGAAAAAAAATATTCCAATTTCCGTCTTCGAGTCAGTCTTGTTTCCGTCTTACTTCCGTCCGCGGACATTTTAGAAAGACGGAAATCCGTCCTGGGGACAGAAGACTTGCACCCATGACTAGTAAGCTCATTCCCATTTATACAAAATTAAATATTCATTAACATATACATTCTAAAGAAATAATGACATTTTTATAAAAATATATCAAACACTGAGACTAAAGTACGCAAAAAAAATTGGTATTTAATCTTGTTTGCAAAATATAATTTGATAAAAATTTAACGCATATATAAAAGGAGTACACAGGTCAGAAATACAAGTGTCAGGCACATGCAGTACCGAGATACACAAGTGACAGGCGCACACAGCTAAAATAATTTCTTATAAAGATTTTCTTCGAATTTTCAACATTTTTAAATAAATAATCTTTTGGTTTTGAAAAAAGAATCACAAACAGAAAACATATACAAGCATGCAGAGTTTGCAATTATTAAATAGGCTTCTTTTTGTAAATAAATAAAAATTAAAATAAATAAAGATTGAAAATCAATTTGAAAAAAAAATATAACTTTGTACCAAAATAAATGCTTTACAAAAGCAGCCAAACAATGAAATATATATACATACAGAATGTTCTATAATTACTGTCTTTGATATCTATTTTTAGCATCAACGTCAAAAAAATTATGAGGACCCATATGTTGCCGTAAACCAATGTTTAAGCGAACCAACCCAATCAAAATCCAACAAATTTTTGTATATATAGAACTAAAGAATAGAAAACTAGTTTAGATATCAGTTTTATCAAATTTTCTGATATGAATCTCTTATAGATTTTCTGAAACAGATAATTTTTGGTAACTATTAAATACACAAAATGGTCTATACAGGAAATTCTTTTAATATAAAAGGAAATATTAAAATGCCAAAACTATATTACTTTAATAACTATAAATATAATTTTGCTGCAATAATGTTAGTTTATGATAGTTTGCAGTACAAACAATTTAGGATAATATATAAATGTCGTGAAATGCATAAAATGTTCCAGGAAAACAATTTTAGGGATATTTCAAAAGAAAAAATGAAAATCTGCTTAATTTTAAAAACTCTAAATTTTCTTTTAATTTCTGTTAGTGATATTACTTATGTGCTATAAAAATTATTGCATACTGTATAAAAAGTAGGCATAACTTCATGAAAACTGAAATTTTTATAAAAAAAAATTAAAAACAAAAACAACATTATGAATATAAATTTTTCTGTTGGAGAGATACAGTTAAAAAAAAAAAAAGGTTTCGTCTGATTGAGACAGACTTGACTATAAATATTTTTATTTATGCTGTTTACATTTTTCAAATGATAATTTTAAATAGAAATAAAAATTGCATTCACTTAATTTAGCTGTGACTAGCACTTTCAGAGCTAAACAAATATTTTGAACTGATTTAAAAATAATAAGTTCTCAATAAAAATAAATAAATAAAATATTTAAAAGTTTTCAACTCATAATATAAATTATCTTTTCTTTATTGTTTGATAATATTACTTATTTAAACAGGGCTCTCTTTCTCTATTTTCAAAATAAAGCTTCAGAGCTTTAAGAATTTTCAAGGAAAAAAAAAAGCACAAAGCTTCAGGGGGAAAAAAATAAAGAGGATGTAAATATTTTAAAATCTATATTGAAATACTTAAGTAACTTAATAGCAATTAATGAACAAGTTCCAAAAATTAAGAAAAAAAAACATTTTGCCATTGAAACAGACGACACAGGTTGAAATTAATTGCAATAAATGCCCACTCAATAGTCAAGAAAATTTTCTCAATTTTTTCTTAAATTTAAATTTTATGGGTCAATAAAATTTTTTTGCTTCCAGTTCTCTGAACTTCATGGCATAAAAAAAATAACAGTTATCCTATTTAAAAATGAACCCTTTTTATGAGCATACATTTGCCCCATGATTGCACTAATTAAATGTAACTTGAAAAATTTTTGGTGACAAATTTTTTCATTTTAAAGAATTTCTAAACAACTTCAAAGAATTTACAATTATTTCCAATAGCCTATGAAAATTGAAAGTCGAGCACTTCTCAAGGATATTTAAAGACTATGACTGCCAAAGTCTCAAGACCTGTTAAAGTCTCAAGAAAATAAAAATTTTAATAAAAAACTATTTTTATAAGGAGTTTTTTTTTTTTAAATCAAATTTTTCGAATATCAGCAAATTTTTTAAAATTACACAAAAACTAGGAAACTTTCAATTTATACAAAATTTCTGGTCAAATTATTCCTGGTCAGATCTTGTGAAAGTAGTAGATACAGAGAGAACATTCTATTTTTCTATAATTCATACACAATAAAAATGCGCAGAAAATCTACAAATTTTTAATAATACCGTATTTTACAGGAAAAAAATTTGAAATGTTATGCTACCATACTAAATTAAAAAGTATAAAAAAGGGCAAAAATATAATAGTTCTCCATAAAAATTATTTGACAGCAAATAAATAAAAACTGAAATAGTAAAGTAGGAACAAAGTACAAAAGAGCATTGCTGCGAATATGGACTGGAAAAAATACTGTAGATTTCACAAAATATAAATTCTATGATATTTACTGCATAATATACTAAATATTTTACAGATAGGGAATTTTTATTGTCATCAAAATACAAAAATTTTATATTTACCAGTTATGATTGACATTAAACGGACTTGAAATGCTTTTAACTTATGTTACCTCACAATTTTTAATAGTATTTTATTATTGATAGTTTAAAGATGTTTTAATTAATTTAAAAAGAGAGAATCCAAATAAAAATAAACCAAAAAATTTTTCAATAAGAAAAAAAGTTTCAAATTGAATACTATAAATGAAGCTCACTTCATTATGTAACACTAATTTAAATATTCACGCAAAGCAATAAACTGTGAAAAATTCTATTTCAATAGGGATTTTTTAGGAAACTTAATTTTAGGGACTTTTCTAAAATGTACAAAAACTAGGAGATTGGATTAGACCAGTACAGCGGGAGAAACTGGCAAAATCCAGTAGAGTTGGCAGCTATGAAAAGAGAAATGTATAACATTTTCATTATTCAATACTGAAATTTTCGGTGTCTCACATTACACTATTTACTTATAAAAATACACCACAATTATAAAAACATGAATGAAAAAAAAAATCAATTACTGTTTATAGAAAAATAGTCACATTAAAATATTATATTAGTCAATCAATATAATTTTAAAGAATTTTCTTTCATAGATTCTCAAAAAATCTGTTTAGATCAACTTCTTGAATTCTGGTTTTTATTATACAACTTAAAGGCAGAAAATGAAGGGGAGAATGTTAATTGTAGAGATGCTGTGTTTCCCGTTCCATGCTCAAGTTAACCACGTTCAGAAGCTCACTTAAGGCTGAATAGTTAAGCTCTTCTGGTTTAGGCAACTCTTCTTGAAAAGATCTTGCCTTGAAAACATTACTTTTGCAGGTCGAGGAGACGCTAATACCCTTTTCTCCGTTACTACCAATACCACTCTTCTCGACAGTATGTCTTAACCACGGAAACTGTGGAATAACGAAAGAAATTTACTATTACAATACAAAGTAACATAATGGCAAAAATATGACACAACAATTAATATAAAAATTTTATTTTAGTTACTTTTTATTAAATAATTAAAAAATTTTCTCCCATATTATAAAACTGAAATTAATTAATTGAATTTTATTAATGAATTAATATTTGAAAAAAAAAGAACTGTATTAACACCATGCATTATTTTTATTTACAATAAAAAAATTTATTGAAAAATGTCTACGTACATTAAAAGAAGAGGGGGGACAATTTTTTACTGAATTATTAGTCTATAACAATTTCTCCTGTAAAAAAAAAAAAAAAAAAAAAAAAAAAAAAAAAAAANAAAAAAAAAAAAAAAAAAAAAAAAAAAAAAAAAAAAATCGCACAGGAAAAATAATAGCTTTATTTATCGCCTGCATAAAATTAAATGATCCTTTTGTACAGTTCTTACAAACTATTATATTTGATGTTTCAAAGCAGACAATATTATCAGATGTACCTTTAACTTGCATTTGGTGGCATAGCTAACAGTGAACGAGAAAGAGCATATGTCCCTGGTTGTAGCATTAGAGATGAGCTAAATTTGTGAGGAAAAAATTTTCTACGAATTTTAGAATAAATTTTTATCCCTTTTTAACATCCCCTCTCCAGTTTCATCTGCCAATTACAGGCCTAATAGCTACTAACAATTTGTATCTCATTTACCTAATAATTGAATAGGATGTGTGTTATTGTGGTATTGTGTTTATTATTTTTTTTAAAATACAAATTTTCTTTACTCAAAATAATAAATAAATAACTACAGAATGTTCTGAATTTTTTTCTTTCTAAATACATACATTTTTCAAGCTCTAAGCAAAATGATTGATTTAAAATGTTCTAAATAAAGTTAAATTGTTTCTCAAAAAATTTAAACTGAGTTGCTTACCTCACATAAATAAACAAAATAAAAGTAAATTAAAAAAATATATATAAAAACTTCACTGATCAATTTTAAGTCATAATATGGAAATAAGTAAGTAGATATGGAAATACGTAAAAACAAATGTAATAAAAAGAAAAGCAGTGGTATCTGATGCAAAAACAATTATTAATTTACAATAAAAATATTTATTATCAAAATTTTGCTTTAAACAGTAAAAATAATTTAATTATTTTAAATCTTAGTTGCACAGTACGATTAATTATGTATCTTGGTATCGTATTTAAAATACCAATAAGTGCATGAGAATTTTTTTTGTAAATCAAAATGTGAAATGTTTCTACACATTTGTGCCTGTTAATAACCTGTTTTGTTACAGTTCACTTCAATTATTATTTCTTTCCTTTCCATTATTAGTGTGAATTTTTAAAAATAAAAAAAAAATTTCAAATGATGTTGCCTTTCATTTAATAATCTGTAACTTGATCAAAATTTATATTTAGGTATAAGTCATTATTTCTAAATCTTCGATTTTTTACTTTGAAAATGATACCTTATTTGTTTAATATTAAGTTTAAAATTTTGGTCATCTGGTTGCCCAACTTGAAACCTGTACCTGTACAGTGCAGAATAAAAATACAAGGTTACGTTTTCCTTCTTTCTAATAAACAAATATAATTAATAAAAATTTATATTCTAAGTTTATACATCATTTAAAATGTTTTTCATACTTTCTTTGTTTCTGGCCAGCTTTTTAGGGTAAAAGGAGAAACAGTTTCGGAAATATCTCTGAAATGTTTGCGAAACATTTACAAACTGTCGACATTGTGATTAATACACAATTCGAATTTTGAATCAAAAATCAAATATTTACCAACAACAGAAACATTTAATGTTGAAATCTAGTTCATAAAAGAACCTTTTTCTTTTCAATAAAACATGCTATAAACGGTTAAAATGAAATTCAGAAAATTAGCATCAATGCAACAATTGTAACGATTTCGCTATTAGCGATTCAAAAAAATAAGTGATTGGTTGGCCTTGCTAAGAAAAAATAATTCATTGGATGAGAAGACAAAAGCTTTCAGAAAAGAGTGCAAGATAAAATCTATTATTAAATTATAACCAACAAGTTTTTTAAAAGTTAAAAACACTAAAACATTTTGTTAAAAGAGAAAAATACCCCTAAAGCATTGGAACAAACTTGAATGAATTCAGCCTGGGGAGCACAAATATCCCTCCACCTCTATTACAATTTTTGCCTTTCCTAAACTGCTTCATCTCCCAAAGAGGTAAAAGATTTTGCCATTCATTTAGCAACAGTTTCATATGGCATTCTAGTTTATCAGGGAAAGAATGCAAGAAAAGTAATACTAAGCTGATGATATTTCAACTGCTTGATTTCAGTCTAAATAAAGAGGATATAACAGATGGTAAAATAATTCCAGCTTTTCTTTAAAATTCTTTGATTTTTCAAGGTTTTTATCAACATTTCACTGACTTTCCCAGATTTCTTCCAGTAAAAAAAATTCCCCGATAATTCCAGGTTTTCCAAGTGGATAGCCCCCCTTTTTTTCCAAAAAAAAAAAAAAAAAAGATACATCCTTTATTTACATACATAAATTTTACTTAATATTTTGGAGAATTTTTTTTTTAATTACAAAATTCTTAATATCAATAAATGTAAGAAATTTTCCTTAATGGAAATAGTTAGTGTGAATCATCATTTTGAAATTTGTGCTCGCAGAATACTTACAAAATGAGAATCGTGAAATCGCCACTCGGTCTCTGCAATGATATGTCTGTCATTGGGACATTGTTCAAGAACATTCCATAAGAACCATTTTGAGTTATGTAAGAATCAGAAATCAGCACTTCAGTGAAGCTTTCAGTTGAATATTCACCTTCTGCGTCTACATGCAGTCCATACCTATCAAATTTATCATATGCTTGTGAAATTTTCAAAGAACATTTTATATTTTAATAAAATATGACTCTGAGTGGGGATATTGTTAGACAAATCCATTTTAAAAATTAGATTTTTCGACTACCTAAATTTATGACTTTCCTTGAATTTTTTAAAAAATAGTGAAAACCATGACTTTTCAGGTGCTTGTACCTTGCTTGTAATAAAAAATAGGATACACAGAATACATGTTCTACTTTGATAAAAAAAAAAAAAAACAATTATGTATCTGCTGATCCTAAATTTTTTTATCTCATCAAAATGCTTGATGTCACATTTTTTATTACCCTCTGGTTCCCCCCTAGCCACAAACTATCCCTTTTTCTCATCTTGAAGCACATCGGCTGCTAAACATCCACATTTTCAACAAAAAGGTTTCTTTAATAATAGGTAAGTAAGAAATGTAAGTATAGAAAATGTGATACAAATTTAAAATGAATTATATTTTAATCCAGTCACCATTTAAAAATGTATCCATACCTGCAACATTGGAGAAATGAAATACTGGAGATTTTATCAGTAACATATTTCAGGTTACAAATTGACTTTTGATACATCATGCATAATCATGTAAATCAAAAAGAGAAATTCAAAATTGGAAATATTATAAGCACTTACAGTTTGCAGGGGTCTGTTTGGTTTTTATGAGAGGTACCTATTTTGTGAAAATTAAAAATTATATTAAAAAATCAACACAAAAATATGGTAGTAAATACAAAAGATATTTTCAAATACTGTGCCTACAAATAAAAATCATTTATGACTGGTAAATTTTTAATTAATTTTTCCCCATATATTCAAAGATAATTTTGCTATATTAAAATTTTGGGTTTAAAATTGCATCTAAATTTAAAAATCCATAACATATATTGTCCATTTTTAAATTTCAACTTGAATTTTTTTTAAAAATAAAACATGCATTTAACAGTACTTTCACTAAAAGTTATTTTCATTATGAGAACCTTTCTCACTGGGTCATATAGAAAAAATGCTTCATCCATACATAATAATAAACGCGGGTGTGTGTGTGTCTGTAATTACATTATATCGCCCCAGAAGCCTCGTCCAAGCACGAAACTCGGCACATAATTGTGAAGAACGCTTCGCTTTGATATATTTGTCGCAAAACGCAGAGCTATAAGCGATAAGCAGAGAGCTCGCCGCACTTAACTGTACTCAATACTATTTATCGCTGTTTATAATTGTTATAATAAGTTTTTCTTCTTCTTTCCACGCTCTATTTTTTTTTATTCTTAAGCGAAGACGATAATTTTTGCAGCGATATAGAAATTGATACCATAAAAAATTATATAGAAATAGATACCATAAAAAATTAATTCGTTTTCGTGTTCTTTTCATGTATTTGCATTTTAGCTTTTTTTTTCTTAAGCGTTGTAGCTATATAATATATAAAATAGGAATTTAATTGTTTTTGAAGGAACGATCACACAGAAATTTGAGAATCCTAATTTTTTCGGGCTTCCTACGAGTTGCCTCACTAATACTAACATTTTTCTTACATAAACGATATTTTTAAAAATAACAAATATACATGTTACTAATTTAAAGTAACAGAAGCATCAACTTCAAAAAAAAAATAATAATAATAAAAAAATAAACTTTTCAGTTAAAATAATATAATTTTTTTATTTGAATACGTAACATTTTTTAAAAATTCTAATATTATGGCCGATATTTTCATACTTCGTAGGTGGAAAACACGGTAATTATTTCCTTTTTTGCATTTTGTAAATCATCATCACATTAAAAAAATAATTAAAAAAATCAAGAAATCCGTAGCATTAACATTTGGGGGAAGAAAAGAACGACGGCGAAATCACGCGTGCCAGACTCTTCGAAAAGGGGTTACTAAATACGTGCTTTCATTTCGAGATTCAGGTGTTGTTATAAACAATATCGTATTAAATATATAGAATTTAAAAACTTTGTGTACAATAGTAAAAACTACAAAGAATAGAAAGAAAATTTCTGCAGAAAAGAAAACCAAAATTTTTTACTTCCCAAAGGAAAAATCCTTCTGCAAGAACTCGGCCACATTCTGCGACAATGTTGTCACGATTTTTGCCACAGGACTCGAGAATACACGGGTAACAGGAGATAGTCGGAAAATACAGGATTCTTCGTTAAAAACCAGAAGACTTGGCAGGTATGTGTATTCAATTTTAAATAAAACCATGACAAAAGAAATCCAAGTTACCTTAGAATTACAAACAATGGTGTCTTGCAAGACTGCTTCCGCACTTCCCAGCAGCAATATTCCATGATCAGAAGCATTACTGTCAACAATGCACCTTCCATGGCGGACAACTCAGCAGATCCTTCTTCACTCTTAATATGACATTAACAATTTCTACAATTCTGGTGCTGCAACAGTTTAAAAAGACATCACTGTTGCCTGTTGCTTCAAGCACAATCTCCTTACAGGAGTCAACTCCAAAAATATTTAAGGAAAACGATACAAGGACTGATTGAATGATGTCTGAAAATGTTAAATGAATTACGAAGGTGCATAGTCAAATCCTTCAACAAAAAATAAGCACCTTTTAAGAACTCAAAATTTTTTTTTTAGGCACTATATACATTAACAAAATGCAAAATAATTTTCAAAGACTTCACATGATCATGATAAAGATAAATAGTTTCTGACAAAGAGCTCATTTCTGGACTATATTAGCCATTTTAAATTGATTAGGAAATTTTTTGGTTCGTTATCAGAGGGTGGAAAATGAAGCCTGAAATTTAGAATATCTAGCAAATTGCAGCAGAGTTGCTGATTTGATTGATTGATTTGCTCATTTACGTCGCACTAGAG